GCGCTGGGGAATTGGGGGAAGGGGAACAGACAAGTTGCTGTCTTTTTGTTCTTCAGTCTAGTTGTGGAGGACGTTGCTTCACTGGCCAAAGTTGGCACCATCATTGCGTACTTCTCGGGGGAGGCAGATTAGTCGCCGGCTTCTGGATGGCTGCTCACTGCGGCTGCTGGCCACTCACGCTGGCTGCTGGCCACACACGGTAACCCATGGCAACCTACTGCAGCAGTGGTTGCAGCCTATGCCGTCGCCTTCGACTCACAGCAGCCCAGCTCCAGGTTGAGCTGTTGTTCAGCATCTTAGCTGTGGAGGGCAGTGTCACTGGCCCTCATATGTGGGATCTGAACTGGGGTTCCCTGGCGTCCCAAGCCAGCTCTTAACCAATGTGCCACTCGGCCGGCCCCCTTCTCAGAATGTTTTAAAGTGCCTAAAATACAATACAAAATCAATTATAATGAAATATAGTTATCAAGATATAAAAAATAGTTATGTAAATTTTTACTTTTTAGCACATCAGATAAGATCTAATGGCAGATCTGATAACTATCTTAATATTGCACATAAACAATATTTTGAGATTGCAAACATCTTCGTGTGATGAAGATATTGGTGCTTCTTTCCACTGGCAGTGTCACTGGGATTTGTTGCCTACATTTATAACTGAAGAAAATGCTAAATTTTAATTAGAGGTTAATGATAAGGATGTAACTTTATTTCACACTAGTTTATGGACTCTTTTTGATTAACACACCCCTGTATGCAAGTCTCTATTCTAGCGCCAGCCTACATGTCCAAATTTGTCCTATGTCTACTCAACACAAGCAGTTTACAAACAGTAGGAAATAATAGCTTTTATGCTTCAACCAATATTTACTGTGTACCATGCCTACTATGTGTCAAGTACTATATTGAGCAATGAAAATTCAGTGCCTATATGTAGTCCCCTGTCTAATGAGGGAGAATAATTACAAATAGTAAACAATTATATAAGTACATAGTAAATGCTCTGAAGAAATCAAACTAATATATTATAATGAAGTAATCTATTTTCAGGAGTATGGATGTGGTTTCCTAGATAGCTGGTCAAAAAAAACCTTTCTAAGTAGAGGCTATTTAAGCTGAGACTTGAAGTATAAGATGGAGCCAGCCAGGTGGAGAGGGAGGGGTGTGAGGTGACCTGTGGGAACTGGAATATTTTAGGCACAGGGAACAGTGAATATGAAGCCCCTGAGGTAAGAAGGATGCGGTACCTAGTCCTTCCTGAATCCCCCTCTTGCTCCCACCACCTCTACCTGTGCTGTTTCTAATAAATTCTTCTCGAGTTTTTTTTAGTAGCAACCAGGCAAACAGAAATTTAGGTTTTTTTTCTTTGTTTGTTACACAAGTAGTAGTGAACTATACACCTTGTTCTACAGTTCTATATTTTGCTTTAATAATTGTATTGGCGGTCTTTTCATATTGTTACATAGTGTTTATTCTCCTTTTGTCTGTAACCACAAGATATTCCAGTGTGTGGGCCATACGATAGTTTATGTAAACAAGCCCTGTCAATGGACTTTTGAATTGGTTCCAATATTTTGCTATTTTAAAAAAGGCTATAGTTAATAAGTCTGTAAGTGCTTATTTCACATGTGTGCAAATATACAGTATTTGTAGGATAAATTCTCAGAAGGGGAATTGCTACCACAAAGGGCAAATACATTTATAATTGTGGTAGATACTGTTAAATTGCTTTGCATTGTGATTGCACCAATTTACATTTTCAATGGCAGCATATGAGAATGCCTGTTTTCCCAGATACACATTTGAAGCATGTTACAAAACTTAGATTTTTCCAGTCTCATATGTGAAACGGTTTCTGTTTAGTATTGATTTCTGTTCTTCCTGAGTGAAGTTTAACATTTTTATGGCCTTTAAGTAATGGTTAGAATGTCCTGTCCTACTCCAAAGTTATAAAAGAATTCTCATTGCAATGCATTAAATATTCACTTTCATCATTGATTTGAGATACTGTCTATATACAGTAATACTAAGTCCTGTATGATTTAAGATTTATTGCTTGCCTTTCTATTCATTTCATTGGTCTGCTGGTCTCCGTGTGCCAGCATTATAGCATTTAACTAATGTGGCTTTATAATATTGTAATATCTTCTAGTCCTAGACCCACCTCATTGTTTTCTTACAATCATCTTGGCTATTTCTTTTTTCATATGAATTTTAGAAGCAGTTTACATACTAGAAAATCTGTTGGTGTTTTGCTCAATTGGGATCTTATATTTATAGATTCATTTGGGGACTCTCACTATTCAAGAACAAGGCAATTGGTTCCATTTCAGTTTTCTTTTGTGGTTCTCTAGTAGTGCTTTAACATTTTAGAGACCTTAAAAATTTATTTATTTTATTCCTGGGCATTTAATCTTTTTATTTGTAAATTGAATTGTTTCTTCCATAATATCTTTTAGTTCTTTTTATATATGTGAAAACTACTGAAGCCTGTATATTTTACCTCACTGGAGTCACTTAATGTTTATAGTAGTTTTTCCATTAAATTTTTATTTTTTAAGGTATATACTGATGTTTTTGAAGATGACAATTTTAGCTCTTCCCATTCAATTTTTTATAGCTCCCATCTCTTTTATCTAATTCTTTTAGTACAGGTGGTTCTGGGCATCCTTGTATTGCTGACCTAGAAGGGAATATCTTGCATGTGTCTTTGTCATACTATCTTTGGACTATGATTTAGTTTATCTTGTTAAGGGAGCAGCCATCTATTTGTATTTCATTGATAGTTTAAAAATCAAGATGTTTATTTAAATTTTTTCAAAAGCCTTGTAATTTTGTTCCTTTGTATAAGTGATTGTAATGAATTATAGATTCATTATATATAATGAGTACAATTATATAATGGATTCCCAATATTGAACCGTACTTATGTTCTTATGATGAACTCCATCTTGTCATATATTATTCTTTTCATGTGTTGCTGAATTTTATTTGCTAATACAACTTAGGACTTTTATCTTGATATTCTTATATGAGCTTGTCCTATATATATTTTTTGCTTTGTTTTGGTGCTGTCTTGATCATGTTTTGTTATAAGTTCACACAATCTTCATAAAATAACTTGAATGTTTTACTTTTTAAGTATTTTGGAACAGTTTACATAACAATGGAATTATCTGCTCTGTCAAGGCTTGGTCGAATTTCTCTGTGAAATCATCAAGGCCAGGAAGCTGCGTGATGTAACTCTGACACCGTTTTCTATTTTTCGATAGAAAACCGATGTTTCGATTTTTAACATTTCTGGAGTTATCTTAGTAAATTATATTTTTCCCTGAAAATTATCTCTGTCATAAGTGCTTTCTCTCACTATCTGTTTTTCTGCTTTCCTCAGGCACTGGCATCTTATAACCTTTCTATTCTAACTGTCCTACCATCACTGTGACCATAATTCAAGTTTTGTTACCTCTCTTGTGTGTTATAGCCTCTGTCTTATAACTGCTAGTATTTATTTTTGATGTTACCATCCATAACGCACAGTGTTACTGGATTAAATTTCATACCTTACAGCCTTACTCATCATCCAACATCTGGCATGTGGCAGGCACGAGAAGCATGCAGAGAAGAGCACAGGCAAAGCTCTACTCTCGCGGAGCTTATATTTTAGTGGATAGCATCAGACAAGTAACATAAGTAAAAATACATTAAGTAGTGATAACTGCTATGAAGAAAAATGAAACTGGATGAAAGAGAGCTAGGAGGCTGGGTGCCCTTTCATATAGGGTGATGAATGGTGAGCAGAGATGTGAAGCAAGTAATCGTGAGCCATCAGGGAGAAGTGCTTGAAGCAGAAGGTTTAGTTAAGTAGAAAGATCCTGAGGTGAGAGTGTACTTGTCAGGTCTGAGGGATAGCGAAGAGACCAGGAATGAAGCTCTAGGAGCTCTAGAGTGAGCCAAGGTGCAAGTGGGAGAAGATGAAGTCAGAACTCCTGGTAGTCTGTGCGCTCAGAGGGACGGGTGGTGCAAAGGGTGGGCAAATCACACAGGACATTGTAGACGGTTGTAAGAACTTGGGTTTTACTGAGTGACATGAAAAGTCATTAGAGTTTTTGTTTTTGCTTTTTGAAAGTGACACGATCTAGACTTAAGAGAAATTACTGTGACTGTTCTGTAGAGACTAGACTATAAAGGGCCATTGATTTAGTTAAGGAAGGAGATAATGTTAGGTACTAGATCATGGGTGTAGTTTTAAAATTTGGGAGAAGTGGCTGGTTGTCAGTTATACCTTAAAGGTTGAGGCATCAGGATTTGAAGATAGATTGAATGTGACATGTAACAGAGCCATCCTCGATTTCTCTCTGAGGATTTTTGGCCTGAGCAAGCTGAATAATAATGTTGCCACTTGCTGAAATAGAGAGCATTGCAGAAACACCAGGTTTGGACTGGAAGTCAAGAGTTTGGTTTTGGACATGTTAAGGTTATGAATGCTACTAATTAAGTGAAAATATTGAGAGCTAAGTTGAATATTGGAATCTGGAATTCAGAAGACAGGTCTTTGTGAAAACACTTCAGTGGCTCCTCATTGTTTACAAATTCTAAATTGTTAGCATCATATTTTAACATTTCTTATTTTCTGACCCCCAACTGACCTTTTAAGTCTTGTCTCATACCACTACCTTACATAGACCAAGCCAAACAGACTTTCTTATTTCTAGAATGTGCTTGAATTTTTGCCATTTTGATGCTGTTGCCTATGTCATTCTTTACACCTGGAGTGCCTGTCATCTCAACCCTGCCCATTGGAATACTGTCCAGTGTTCATGACTTTCTATATAAGACTAGAAAAGTGAGCCATGGAAAGGGAACTTTATGTTTAGTTGATGACATTCAGTGAATAGACGGCTGGGACTTGCTTCTGTGTGCTCATTTTAACCTATGGCACAGATTGCTTTCATTAGCGATGAAAAAAAATGTTAATTTTTATTATCTCTTTTAATTTTCAGATGGGAACATTTAAAGCACATGATGGTGAATATTTCTTAGAACCTATAATGAAGGCAGATGGGAGTGAACACGAAGATAATCATAACAAGCCACATCTTATATACAGACAGGAATTAAAGAGGGACTATTTTCTGCATTCTCATAAGCCTTGTGATGTTTCAGGTAAATTATGACGTAAAAGTATTTGCGTTATATTAGACTATTTAAATCTTTTTATAGGTTAGAATTTGCCTGTTTTCTTTAAATACCAAAGTATGATATTTTAAACAAATTTTCTTGACCCATTAGAAATCATCTAATGTCTGTATGCCATTTTGTTGTAGTAGGCTAAACTTAAATCCAAAAAAAGTATTCGGTATATGGGATTTGTAGCAATTAGCCTTAGAAACTTTTTACTTTAATCAGTTAGTCACACTAGTATGATTTAATTTTTCTCAGCAGAATTTTAGATAATTAAAAAAACTGAACCTAAGTAACAATAAATAACATATTCAATTTTGCATGCTTTTTACCTTATATAAAGGAAACGTTGTATATAGTTTTCTGTGATTACCTGTTTTGCTCTGTCTGACTAAGGTTCATCTATGTTGACGTGTGTAGCAGCAGTTCACTCATTTTCATTGCTGTCCAGTATTTGTGTGTCACAGCTCATGTGTCCATTTTGCTGTTGATAAACTTTTGGGCTGTTTGTAGTTTATCACAATGATGAACAATGCTGCTGGATATTTTTGTCCTCATCTCCTCTGTTTGAGAGTTTCCCCAGAGTAAAACACATAGATACTAGATAATCCCAATTTGTTTTGCAATATAGTTTTTATCAATTTTTACCTCAGCAATGTATGAGAGAGGTGTTTTCATCATGTTTCCTCTAAAAGTCAGACTACTGAAGACTTGTAATAGATTACAATCTAAGAATCATATATTTCTTTAAAGTGTAAATCTGTTGCCGGTAAAATACTTGTACATTGCCTAGAAGTCGTATTAAAAGCTGTGTCCATGTATGTACATGAATCTTCCGCACATCATTGTATGTCATTCTATGAAGTATGGAGAAAGGCACCTGCAGTTATCATCAAAGTACAAAATCGAGACAAAAGAGTGGGATTAGGAAGGATTTATTGGAGATTGTAGGTGTCCAGAAGCTATAGTTCCAAGCACTGAAATGCCATCTGTTTTGGGATATAATGATATGTGGGCCTTTGAAGGTTTTCCCTGGGAGTGCACTTCTTAACCTTTGCTATTATAAGAGTGCCATTTTGCAGTGGTTCTCACTGTGTCGAAGACCGTGTTTTAAAGCTATTGACATAATAGATGCCTTTCTTATGCTTTTAATATGAGCATAAGGGTTTCATTTTTATGGCTTCAAAGAGAACACAAATGGGCACAGCTTCACAATAGACTTCTACAGAAGGCAGCTTACGCTTGTTCTGATCTACCATTCAGGAGCAGCTTGTTTAATGAACTGTTTAGCTTCTTAAGAAGAAAACCACCAAGTAGACACTCTGAATGCATAAATGTATCACATAATGATATGCAGGGGTTTGCATTCACAATCAGTGTTCATTATCAGAAAGAAAATGGTTCAAGCAAAGCCAGGCTCTTTTGTCTAAACAAAGTTTTAGACTAAAGATCTTATTAGAAAAACTACAAATAAAAAGCAAATAGCAAGCTATCATTTTCTTTTAATCACAATATATTTCCCCACAACATTTATCTACTAAAATGTTAAAGGTAGTATTCTTTTTAATTCTTGAATTACCCCCATTTTTAGATACAATTAACATATATATTTTTAATCACTAAAAAAGGCAATCAATTAATGGCCGAAGTAATTAGCTGCTAATCTTTATTTTGTTCATAAAAAATAGAGTTTTGAATGTAGTTAGTACAATGTTATCAAAGGCTTTTTTTTTTTCTTGCCTAATTCACATGATCAGAAATAACTTACAGGATCTTCTATATTCTAAAGGTGAACCTTCATTCAGGAGAATTTGTCAAACAGGTGGGCCTAAAGATTCAGCACAGGAACCAAAAGGGTAAAGTGGAAAAGGGAAAGTCATTTTGTTTTTTCAATATTTCTACTGATGGTTTTAATTGATTATGACACTAAAATGTTGCAATTCATAGTGGCTTCAGCCTTGATGAATTAGATTAAATTTTTTTCAACATCAGACTTCACCATGTGCCTTGAGGCCATACAAATTATATTTGGTAGCCAAACCGAGCCATTGTGGATGCCAGGATCTCAGGTAGACATCAGACACATTCTAAGTAATATCTGGTAGAAACGGCAACTCCCTCTCCCCCTCC